CTTTCCCTAAAAGCAAATTGACTATGTGACTCTCGATCCGCCCAAGCTCCTATCTTTTCTTTTTCTTTGAAGACAAATAACGTTTTTTCTTTGAAGAATTTTTATCTGGAACTTCCCCAGGTCCCATCTCATTCTATCTTTTATCTTTCCCTCCTTTCATTTTGATAAGAAAGATTTGAAATGGATGCTGCTCTGAGTGCATTAGCCGACCTGCATTTCGTAGGTTTGTTGTGCGAACGGAGACCCGATTGGATTTTCCGATGCCTTTTCAAAGTTTCAAGCTTTTGATTCATGGTGTTTTTTTAGATTTTCTCGCGCGTCAGTTTGTTTCCTGAGAAAAAAGAAAATGTGGGTCGATTTCTGGTGTTTCTGCTGATGGATCGATAAGGGGTTTAGTGGGTTCTTTGCAACTTCTGGAAATTTTGCAGCTTTAGTTCACGGGTTTAGCATGTTTTCTCGTGGTCTGTTTGTTTCCTGAGAAAATGTTGTTGTTGCAGAGGATAAATTCCACAGAAACTTTCTTCTTCCCCGTTCCTCTTTTTTTGTATAATGTATATACATTTTGGGGACACAAGAAAGAAAGGAAGAGTGCATAGATCTTCGAATATTACATTTCCTAATATTTTCTTCGCATTTTGGAAATTATATCCTGTAGATTTTGCGTTTTTTTACCTTTGTACCAAATGCTGCACATAGTGGCAGTGTATATATCGCTGTAGCAATTTTTGTTGTTTTGTTTTAAATGAATGTATACAATCGGGTTCGGGTTTTTTCTTCCACTAAGGAAATCGAATAATATCTGATTCGCTTTCGAGTCTTACAAAGTTTGAAAAAGTCTGAAACTTGAAACTTGAATGTATCTTCTATTGATTCGTGGCTCTCTTGTTTGAGATTCAGAGAATAGCAATCGTTTCTGTTGCACTTTTTGTTTCTCTCTAAACTTCAAAATTGCATCTGCTGTCTCTCTTAGCCATTGCATGGCCATGAGATCGGTTGTGTACTAAGTCTTTTACTGCAAGAACAGATTGAGCAGTCTCTTCTCTGGACAGAAGTCTCTGTTGCAAGTTTCACTTTTATCATACCTTTGACTTTTACTTTCCCTTGATTTCAAATTCGCAGATCAGGAAATGAGCCATTGCTAAGATCTGGAACTTGAAGGTTGGAGCTTCTCTGGGGCGACTTTTCAGTCATGGGGAAGGAGAATGGCTTAGAGCTCCATGGCCGCCCTTTTACTCGTGCCTTTGCTTCTGCATTACGTTCTTCTGGACAGATTAAACCTTCAGAAGTTCCTGCAAGACAGAATCAGCAAAGGGTTTTGAGGGCCAATGCAAAAAGAGCAGCCTTGGAGGAGAAGAAAGCCATCGTACCCAAGAAGCGAGCTGTTCTAAGGGATGTCACGAACATTAGCTGTGAAAGTTCTTACCAAAGTTGCATTTACGCAGCTAAAGTGCAGGTTGTTATGTATACACTGCTGCTTAAAATGTTGGCCTTTAATGATTTTGTGAAGGACGAAGATACTCCGAATATGTATTACTTGCTGATACTTTTGGTTCTTGGGTTGTGCTTTTCTTGTCCAGGAGAAGAACATCAACCAGATCAAGAAGGGACGGGCGGGTAAATCGAAGGTGGCACCTTCTGTTGCTTCAGAAGTCTCTGATCTTCAATCCAGGACAGAAGCAATGGCTGCTGAGCAGAAGGCAACAGCAGAGTCCGAGCTGAGTGAAGTGTCAAATGCAGCAAGAAACCCGTGTTTTTCTTCAGGCACGAGCTTACTCATAAACGACGGAGCAGCTGAGCCGGATTCCGGATTGTCCAAAGGTGATCCAAGATCAGTTACTTGCTGTTGTATGAATCTGTCTGTGTTAGCGACTGAATATTAAACATTGTTCTGCTTTTTGTCAATGATTACAGTGGGGGAAAGTGATGTTGCTGGAAGTTTGACAGAGCTGGATAATCCAAAATTCTTGGACATCGATTCGAATAACAAGGACCCTTTACTCTGCAGCCTTTATGCTCCTGAAATCTTCCACAATCTGCGTGCTGCAGAGGTAATAATCTCTGGGTTTGATACCATCTTCCATGATGAATCCCAGAGGCCAAATCACAGAAAGTTTGAAACTTTTCCTGGTTTTGTATTTCGTAAACAGCTTAAACGTAGACCGTATCCCGATTTTATGGAGAGAATTCAGAAGGATATCACTCAAGCCATGAGGGGAGTTCTGGTTGATTGGCTTGTGGAGGTCTGTTTTGCCTTTGATGTTTCTTCCATTGCCCATGTTTTGGCTCTCAAAGTTGAAAACTGTTTATCGAATTTCGGATTTCAGGTCTCTGAGGAATACACACTGGTGCCTGACACTTTGTACCTAACGGTGTATCTGATAGACAGATTCCTCCATGGAAACTACATCGAAAGACAGAGACTTCAGTTGCTCGGCATCACTTGCATGCTCATCGCCTCGTAATTTCCTAACTATACAGCTTAATCTCCTTGTCTCATCCATAATGCTCAAGAAAACAGGTCTATTTACACATTTTCTTGAAAAAAATGTTAAGGAAGTACGAAGAGATATGCGCACCCCGCATTGAAGAGTTCTGCTTCATCACGGACAACACTTACAAGAGGGATCAGGTATATGCCGAATAAATTCCATGCAATGCCCTCGAGAATGTAATTGTCTGTTGTTAACATGGAAACACCTGTAGGTGCTGGAAATGGAGAACGAAGTACTCAAGCATTTCGGATTCCAAATATACATTCCCACTTCAAAAACATTCCTCAGGTATATCTATCTACAATTTGACTGTCTGAATACTCAGATTTATACTCTTGCTTGTTTTTCTCATTTTGATATGCTGAATACAGGAGATTCCTCCGAGCAGCTCAAGCTTCTCACGTGGTAAAATTCTTTTTCATGGCTTTTGCATCCTCGTACATGTTTTTTAGCTGAAAGATCAAGACTTTATCAGTGTTCGGTTTCTGAATCTGCAGAGCTCGAGTCTTGAAATGGAGTTTCTGGCCAACTACCTCACAGAATTGACGTTAATAGAATACGATTTCTTGAAGTTTCTTCCTTCTCTTATCGCAGCTTCCGCTGTTTTTCTTGCCAAGTGGACACTGGATCAGTCATGCCACCCTTGGGTCTGGCTCTGTTCTCCTATTTTGATTCGGACACAGTTATGTGTTCCAAGAATCTTGGAACTCACTTCACTTGGGTTTTCTTGTTTTTACTCAGAATCCGACCCTTGAGCATTACACGATGTACAAAGCAACTGATCTGAAAGCATCGGTCTTGGCCTTGCAAGAATTGCAGATGAACACGAAAGCATGCCCCTTGAACGCTATACGCTTCAAGTATAAGCAAGAGAAGGTAAAGGAGTCAGCGAACCGATCCGAATACCGGATTCTTGTAAATTATGGTTATCAGCAGAATGTTTTCGGTTATTTCCGGTTTATGGATCTGACAAATGACAATATACTCGTGCACTTGCATCTCTGCAGTTCAAATCCGTGGCGGCTCTGTCTTCTCCGAAACTGCTCGACTCGCTATTCTAAAGGCTTAAACCGGGCGAGCGGTTC